TCAGTGTGGGATAAGATTGGAAAGGCGTGTGGGGGTAAAGCAATAAAAAAATTAGAGCGAGAATGGATCAGTGTCCTACGGTGAAGTGTGTCTCTATCTTGGTAATAACTTGGGTGCGGTGCAGACGTTTCAAACCCAAGTGCTCTATCACTGCATCCTTTGTTTAAACATGGCTGGCTATCGATGAAAGTGGGATTTACTTAATATCTGATTAGCACATCTGTTCTCTTGTAGTGTCTTTTTTCTCTGCAAGCCTGGCAGTCATCCTCTCTGTTTTTCATGCCATAACATCAAAGATATTCTGTACTTATATTCAAATTCTACCTGTTATTTTCCTTATAACAGAACTGGGGAGTTTAAATGTATTGTCCCTATGCCTCACATTGCACACGAAGACAATTCAACACTAAATGATCAGTCACTAGGTAGTGGGGGGGAAATCCCCCGGTCCCTTCTTCAATCCAGACACCTTTGAACTCAGACAATAAGGTCGGGCCCACCCTGATTGTTGAGGGAGCTGAGTGATAAGCAGCAGCAGCCCAGTACATGAAGGGACATGTCAGTAGCCCCTGTGAATACTACAGCAATGTGCAAAGCACTCCACTGTGGCTGCTTTATTAGAGAGTTAATGGGGTTGGGGTGGGCGAAGACTGACAGCAAGAGTCCAACACTTATGTACAGATTATACATGTGCTTAAAGCTTTGAAGCTGCATCAGCACACATGGCTACAAGGGAGGGGGTTATATCCACCGAACTGTAGCCTTTTACTAATGTGCGTTTCTGTGTCTTAACCTCTATTTTGAACTTTTTTTCTCTGTATAAAGGGGGTCACTGGAGCAATTCATTCAAACCACAATTGTCCAATAAAAACTAATTCCAAATTGCAGTTTATTACACACACTAGTCATTTAAGATGTTATTTCAGCAGATGTCCCTTTACATGACTCATTCCTTGAAGCATATATAAACTCAAGAGCCCCCCATCCACTACAAACATTTGTAAACCTTACTATGTCTTTAATAGTAACATTTTAAGACTGTTTTGCACATGTACTCTTCAGCGGGGTGGATGCATGCCAACATCTAATCTAACAGACTGCCTTTCCAGTCATCCTCATCATCCTCATACTCATTAGAACTGGAAATGTTTTTACACTATGCCACAGCAGCTGGGCACACATTTTTCAGCCTCAAGGATGTATTGTAATTTAAAGAATGTACCATATTCTATTAATATGTTTTTTTATGTATACAGTCAGTCGAAAAATAATCATTCACCATGTCTTCTCCTGGAGCTACAACAAAACTGTCATACTCTTTAAAAACACCACATATTAATAAGAAGCACTAAAAATGGTTTGTGTTGCCCATATGTTATACTTTTATACTTTTGTTTCTCTGGTTTTTCTAGTGGTGTTTTGTCTTTATACTTAGGTTTTTTAAGTGACCTGTCCAGGGAGTGCAGATGTAAAATAGCATTAAGCAAACTCTGGTACAATACATCAAATGATAACATTTAGTCTGTGTTTAGTAGGCATTTGTACACAGTCCCTTAATAAATTTAAACTGTGAGGTTGTGGGGAACAGGCAGATTATTGATTCTACACCAATATATTTTTATCATACAGACAACTGGCCTAATTGTTGATCAATGTGGTTTTTATTTTAAAGGCATTTCCATCTGTACAGATGGCTCTCACCTACAGCCAAGCCTGGATTATCCACATATAAGTGAGGCAGATGTCCTATGGACAGATTCATATGCACACAATATGCACAAAATAATTTTAAATCAAATTTGAAAAACAACAGGATTACATAAAGGTTTATTATCATTACTGAAAAGTAAGAACCTTTACTATAGGTTGCCATAAAATAATCACATAGGTACAGTTGTTGTGGGCATACTTTTGAATATTTCTAATTGACGCTGCTTTATAGGCTACTAGTTCTACATTTGTCTACATGTACTATTTCCGCATTTAGATGTGAATACTGTATTTTTAAACCCATTACATTTATATTAAACAGTTCATTGATATATAAAGTAGTAGCTCTATATTCTGGAGATGCTCACCTTCATAACATGAAGGTGAGCATCTCCAGAACATTTATACATAAAGTAAAATATATGAATACTTCTACCAGTGGTTGTTGAACACAGTCGTACAGTTTCTTGACACTGGAGGGTAAAGTGACTTTTGGTCATGCACTGCCTCTAAGTGCTAACTTCAGAAACTACACGCTCGCTCCACCGGGGCCAATACGTCACTAAACTGCGACATAACGACGAACAAGCGCCACATTTTTGCTGCTCTAAATTATTTTGACGTTTTCAACATTACCGTAGTAGTTACAACCACAGCTAAACAAATCTGAGGTATGTGTATTTATTTAGTTATGAGGTGGTGTTGCAGATGTTCCAATGTTCAGATGTGGTCTTTGAAAATGTTGCTGCAAAGTAAATTTTTTAATCGAGCATCATCACAGTGGATGGTTTTAGAACCTGACTAATGCAAGACAACTGGCGTTGAATTAGTTTTCTGACTCATATAATAGTTAAAATAGTCGCACATTAGCTCAAACGTAATTATTTTGCATATCACACGCAGTTAAACTGCCCACATATCCTCATGTTAAAAAGCTAACTAGAAACGCATACTTCTAAGCTGGTATTGGCGTTGCTAGTTAGCCGTCCTGCTACGTCTTGTCGAATGAGCGTTTTGGTTTACGTTACTCTTAAGTAACTCTGATATCAGACCTATGTCATGAGCTACAGTCAGTGGACATGCGTACCGAGTTTGGCACCTGAGTGTTATAAAGGTTTCGTGGTAAAAGTGAAATAGTATATATAACCTAAAGCTTTGGTGTTAGCTACCTAGCATCACAAACAAATGTTGGCACGCTTTCATTCCCTTTATGGATCCACGGCTACATCCAGATTAATTTGTGTGCATGAACAAATGCACGTTAGCTTTTAACACGGGTTGGCTTCTGATAATGTCGATGCTTTCCAAATATAGGCACAAATGAACGTAGTCTGCTACTGCGTGTAGTACACCGTGCCCCTGTCTTCTCTCTCAGGCGTACAGTTGGAGTTACGTTCATGCACAATGAGTATATTTGGGAGCTCCGGCTTCGGAACAGGAGGAACCGGTGTCTTTGGAAGCACAGCGGCAGACAGCCATAATCCCATGAAGGTAAACCAGAGGAGTACTGAAGAAAAGTATCTGGCATCTTTTGTCATGATGGGTCAATGACAACAGTGCCTTCATCTGTTTATCTGATAGTTTAATGTTAACCTTTGGTGTTTATGTTCCTGACTTGTCCTACAGGATATTGAAGTGACTTCACCTCCAGATGATAGCATCAGCTGTCTGGCATTCAGTCCCCCTAGCCTGCCAGGGAACTTCCTCATTGGAGGATCCTGGGCTAATGATGTGAGTTATTTATTCACCCCTACAATTGATCTACAGTCAGTTTATTTAGTGGTTAAGCATAATAATTTTAATACTGCTGCACTGGGGCAGAGCAGCACCTGGCAGGACCCCCATAATGCCAGAGGGGAGAGGCTGGCGTGGTGTCCCAGAATGCCTCTCTGGACGGGAGGCATATAGTTAAGACTTGACTGGACTTGTTAGAGTGTGTTCAGTGTGTGCCTGTGTTTTATGGTTGCTGTGTGTTCCCTGGCTCACAATAAAAGAGAAGAAGAAAAGCCCTGGTATTATTTATCCAGCCAACTGTACAATACAGAATTTGAAGGCAGATTGAGAGCAGGCCATACATTTTATAGTTTAAAGGGCAAGGCCATTTAGCCTTCACTGTCATACATATTGAGAGAGCTCAAAGATCACTTGACTGGGCACTAAGGCTGAATGACAAATGGACATATTGTAGACATAAGGGTATGTTGTTTTTCATGCAATAAACCTTTAATCCTCTCAGTACTATTAATAGGTTTGTTGATAAAGATATTAAACAGTTTTCTTTGAATATTAGTAAGTAAGTAATATCATAAGTAAGAACCTCTGTGCATTTTGAAAGTCAGGAAGTACTTAGCAGACTTTAATAATAATAATAAAAAACAACAAAACCAAAACAAATCTGCACAAATTTGAGAAAATATCTGTGCTGTGAAAACTATTTAAAACTTAACTGAACTTAAGAGATCCAGGATTCCAAAATAAATCTACATAAACAACTATAATCTATAATTCTGTAATTACCTGACTGAATCACATCACCAGTTATTAGGAAATTTAGGAATATAGGCCTGTTTGTTTTATAATTGTCAATGTGTGGAAAATTGCTATTGGATGGTGTTGATGAGAGAGTCACTTATCTGACACCAAATAAGGTTAGAGTATTAATTGGAGGGTCAAGCATCCTTGTAATTTGTACCCTTTTATCTTTTAATCCAGCAACTCGGTGCAGCTGCAGTGCCGCTTCCCATGCATAAGTCTGAAGTAAACTGGAGTTTGACAGCGAGCAGAGACCTCTTTTCCTGCTTGTGCATTTGAAACAAACAGGCTACTGGACTGGCATCAATTCTGATTGTTAGAAAAATATCTGTGGATGACTGATAAAATATGCTGCAGCTACAACTCTACAGGGTTAGGAATGACTGCTTTCATGTGGACAAGAGTTGAGAGTGCTGCCAGAGCTGATGAGGGCACCACAGTCATTTGAGGCCAGATAAGTCCTACAAATATAAAATCAGAATCTGCTATATTGGCCAGGTGTTTCGGATGCATGAGGAATTTGACTTTGGTACATCGGCTCTCAGTGTGCAAGTATACAAAATAAGCAGTATTAACAGCAGCAAACAATATCATATAATCACCTTTATTGGCCAAGTATGTTACACACAAGGAATTTGTTTCCGGTATAGAACCGAGGCAGCCATCTGCGGCGCCAACTCAACCGATGGCTTTAACCACTGGGGGCAACTTGGATGTTCAGTGTCTTGCCCAAGGACACTTAAACATGTGGACTGCAGGCACTGTGATTTGAACTTCCAATGCAGACAGACAAAGCAATGCCCCTTGTGAAATGAGATAAATAGGAATAAAAATAGAGACCTGTATGGATCTGTATAATCTGTGCAGTGTATATTTACAGGTATTGCACTGAGGGTTATTTTCCAGTCATACTGTCATGGGTCAAGTGTTCATCAGAGTAATGGCCTTGGGGAAGAAACTGCCTGGTTGTCTTGGTGCACATTGTAATACCGTCCAGATCACTAGGCTTGTCTTTCATGAAAAAGGACTTCTGTAAAACATAAGTTTGTACCGTGCTCACAATTTAACAACATTAAACTCTGTGCTTTCATTTGACCTCAGGTCCGGTGCTGGGAGGTACAGGACAATGGACAGACTGTCCCCAAAGCCCAGCAGATGCACACAGGCCCAGTGCTGGATGCATGTTGGAGCGATGTAAGCCTCATCATACAGAATAGTTTCAGCACTGTAGCAGATGCTGTCTGCTGGGCCACAGAACAATTTATGATGTGCTGTTCTTCTTAACCAGGATGGGAGTAAAGTCTTCACTGCTTCCTGTGACAAGACAGCCAAGATGTGGGATCTTAACAGCAATCAAGCAATGCAGATTGCACAGGTTGGATGAGAGCCCCCAAATCAGCTGTGCACTCATAAGAATGAAGCAGAATCCTGTTACATCTCCCGTTATTCTCTTCGCAGCATGACGGTCCAATCAAAGCCATCCACTGGATAAAAGCCCCAAACTACAGCTGTATCATGACTGGCAGCTGGGACAAAACACTGAAGGTACCACAGCCGCTTTCACACATTTTTTATGCCTCCACGCTGGCTGTAACCACAGCCAGAGGCGTTATGTTTTCAGGGTGCCCGTTCTTGTGAATGTGATATGTCAGGAACACCTTGAGGGAATTTCTTCTGTCCAATTCCCATATTTGACTGGTTGGCGGAGATATGCAGTGGAGAAGCAGTAATTCTAGTTTGTTTTTGAAAATACAAACATTACATTTGAAAATAATAAAGAGCAAAAGAGCTTTTTTAACCATACATGGAGACGGTGAAAGTGAAGTTCTTGAATAGATATTGACATATAACTATAATGAAGCAAATTCTATAGTGTTTTAGCATTGAAAAACACTTTGTTTATCTCTCTAGTTCTGGGACACCCGCTCCCCCAATCCCATGATGTCTCTGCAGATGCCAGAGAGATGCTACTGTGCAGATGTTGTAAGTGGTTTTTGAGAGGTATGTCATATATTTTAATGCTTGCTAAGCTGATGACTAAGTTGGTGTTTCTCTTTCTTTTTTTTTAATGCCATCCTGACCCTGATATGTAGGTATACCCCATGGCTGTGGTTGCCACAGCTGAGAGAGGCTTGATAGTATACCAGCTGGAGAACCAGCCCTCTGAATTTCGCAGAATAGACTCTCCCCTTAAACACCAGGTGAATACAAAGTTCTTTTAACAATGATCTTTTCATTGTTTCTGTGTCTCCCCTAATCCAGTACTTCCCAGCCAAATTCATTTTCTTTGACAATGAGTATAAAGCCACTCTTTGCAAGATGTATAATTTTTCACACATGGCCTTCATTTGATTTGATGTTGGTCTCCTGGTCTGGTCTGCCAGCACCGCTGTGTTGCCATTTTCAAGGACAAGCAGAACAAGCCCACAGGCTTTGCACTGGGAAGCATTGAGGGTCGAGTAGCCATCCACTATATCAACCCTCCAAACCCGTGAGTGTCTAAAGTAATCCATTTCCTATGAGTGTTTGGAGTCTTGCTTATCAGTCAGGTGTATCTTTAGGTCAGTAAAGTGCACATATAATTGGTTATTATTTTGTTGACATAATTACAGAGACACTGCTCTTGCTCTGGTCTGAGGTAAAAGATGACATGAGTGTATTTGCTGATGTCTTACAGAGCCAAAGACAATTTCACCTTTAAGTGCCACAGATCTAATGGAACCAACACAACCACTCCACAAGACATCTATGCTGTAAGTTGCTCAGAATCACTGAGACAGTGTTTCTTTTGTGCTTGCTCTTAAAGGAGGCTGTATTGGCATGTTTGATTGTTTTATTAGAACACAAATTATGGTAACTTGTGGATTTTATAGGTGAGTTTTGATGCAGCATGTTATAAAAGAGTTTTTCCACAGCACAGTCTCCTTGTCATAGCAGGAAAAACAACATTAACGTTGGATGCCTTTTGCTTTTCCTGTGATGTTACTGTATATCTGCACTGTGTCCTACATATAGGCTTTACTTGGCCACCCATTTTTATTATTATTATTATTTTTTTTATCTGTCTGAGCGAACAACGCAATTTGAGATCAATTAACTAGAGAGCAATTTCCCCTCGCTCTTGGTTTTCAGTTGTTTTTTTTTATGTTTAAAATGGGTACAATTTTATTCCATTGTAAAACTGCATGCAGTGCTCTCTCTATCTCTCGCTCTCTCGCACACACACACACACACACACACACTGATAGACCATCTGTGAACAGCTCCTCCTTTCTGTTATTGTGCTTTTAAATACAAAGCTGTCATTCTCAGAGATCCAACTCTTCTAATAAGTTATTAGCAAGCTAGTAAGGCTGGTGGAACTAACTTTAGAATACAGATGGTGCTGAGGTCAACATGCTGGATACAGCATGTATATGGTCTGCTTTGCAAGTGGATAATATTAATGCTAATTCCTAACTCATATTTGCTCCCTCAGTCCAGGGGAATATTGAAAAACACACCAAACCAGCAGGATTAGTGATTGGTTAATTCATTTAGGATATTTCCAGGCTTCAGCCAGTGCTGCTGAAGCAGCAAGAGAGGATCAGGAAGAGATAGCTGAAGAGAGAGATGTAGGAGAGCAGGAAGGCAGCAGCCAACATGCTGCTGTGAGAGCCAGCTAGTGTAGCAGCAACAGGAGAACACACAACAGTAAGCACAGAGGCACAGGTGGCTGACCATGTGTCAGTACCGCCACAAGGAGAATCTAACTCTGTGGAGAACACTGCAGTGAAAAAATATGTAAAAGTTAATAGTGTTTATTTTTTTTATTAGTATCTGTATAAAGGTGACTTAACATTAATCATTTCCATTTTTAAATACATGTAGATTAATATAAATGCTGTGTGCTTTAATTGTATTTGTAATATCCACCGATTTTCAAAACAATCTGGTTGACCCCATCGTGCTGGACAGCCCTCATGTATCATTTCACAGAAGCAATGTCTCTGATATAGTCCCTGTGACACAGCCTTATTGAAATGTTTCCACAAGTTCTACATACTAATTAGCATTTTCTTCCATCAGGTGAATGCCATCTCCTTCCACCCTGTCCATGGCACACTGGCAACTGTGGGTTCAGATGGCCGTTTCAGTTTCTGGGACAAAGACGCCCGCACCAAGTTGAAGACCTCAGAGCAGCTGGACCAGCCCATTACGGCCTGCTGCTTCAACCACAATGGCAACATCTTTGCATATGCTTCCAGTTACGACTGGTCCAAGGTAGGAGGTGTGAAGTCTTTACAAAAATAGTGACCAAGTGTCTTTATTTTACACTGTTTCAAAAGTAATCTGCTGGCATGTGACCTGTCTTGCACCATTTTCTTTTTTATAATTGTGTTCTTTTGTGAATACCTCAGGGCCATGAGTACTACAACCCCCAGAAAAAGAACTACATCTTCCTGAGGAATGCTGCTGAGGAGCTGAAGCCTCGGAACAAGAAATGGTGAGAGAAGGGTAGCCAGTCTGTAAACCTGGAGACTGCGGTCACCCGACAGGGCTGCCCCACTTCCTCAGTGCCCCTGTGACTCGCAGTGGGGCCTTTCAAGGCACCCCTTCATTCACATGCATGGAAGTGGGCAGTGAGGATATTGACATGATTCAGATCTCAGCACTGCGATGTACTGCTACAAGTAGTCCTTTTGAGTGGGAATGGTGCTGTACTGACCTGAGTGAAGTCATCTGTAGGCTTGTGTGGTTTTTGCTGTAATAGTGTATACAAACTGCCTTTGCATTTGTATAATCAGGAGTGTTTGGGGGGGGGCATTGAAGCCTGCTGGTATTTTACATTACTTAGCTTCTATGTAGTAAGGCTTTGAAGTGTATTCAATGACATGATGAACTGAAGGACTTGAATAAGTTACAGAGAAGATTCATAAATACAAAATACATGCCAGCAATCATTTACAGTGAGTCAACCAGCATTTGTAAAGATTGGTCTTTGTCTGCTGAAGAGTGATTTTGTGCTGTTTATTTTGTTCAAAAAGGGGACAACAGTGAGCGCCTTTTCAGAAATAAACAAACAAAAAAGTTCACTGTGACTGACTGATCCCTCCTGTCTTTAGATTCGTCGTGCCAAGTCACATCTCTTGTGGGGAAATGCGGAAGACCTGCTGCTTTAGTGTGTGTGTATACGCTCGAGACAGACTCCTTCCTTTCGGCAAACACCTGGACCAATGCTGTGGTGCTGCGTGTACTGTGTATGGACCAATCAGAGGGGCCTACCCATCCTGGTGTTGATGACTGCTGCGTGACAATTGGTTGTAGAGGTCATCATAGAAAGGGAGGGCTTTATTTGTCCTTTTTATGTGTCCAGTTCCTTATGGTTTTTTTTTGTTTTGTTTTTTTACAGCTTTTCAAAGACTGAATTCTCTTCTGATTTGCTGTTACTCCGTGGTTTAGCTCCATTAATGAAACTGGGATGTAAAATAAATAAGTGCATACTCTTAGATTTGAACATGTTTATTTCAACTTGAAGGGGTAAGTAGGTTAAAGGCAATGTTTTGTGTTTGCTGTATAAATGTTGGGGATTTTTAGAACTGTATTGTGCATGCTAAACCATCACCACTATCATATTTCAGCTGTAGACCTCCATTTTGTGGATCTCTGGCATTGGAATCATCACAAAATCAAGCTGATAAACTTTGAACACCATCTGTATTACAGTGGCCCCTCCTTTCTGCTTCCACCAGGTGGAGCATTTTGTCCTTCAGTGTGTCCAAGACATTAGCAGGACAAACGAGATCAAAGCAGGACAGTGGGGCTCTTCAGTCAGGTGAAATCCTTTTGACAGGGACGCAGAGATGGAAATGGAGGATTTATCAAGAGGATATGAATGAGGTTCCATGGGCAGATACAAAGGCCATGTGTTAAAAGTGAACCAGTTCATGGAGGAGAAGGTGTGAATTAAATGCCTTTTTATTGAGGTCATTAGAGTGTCACCTCACTGTCACCCTGACCCTTGGCACTTAGCAGTGGAACTCCAAGGCACTGAAGGCAGGGAGATGTGCTGCTGCCACAGTTCACTGGCTCCTTTAAACTTTCATGGTGTGACAGGTACCACTTTAGACCACTGCCTCCTCCACCGTTCACTGTCTACAACAAGTTCCTTTTAAATGATTGAACAGAAAGGCATCCAGGGTGATTTGCACTGGTTATCATGAATGAGCACTGTACGCGTTTCATCTTTGCCCCAGTTCTCTCAAAATATGCCTATCAATACTTTTCTGATAGGGTGATAAGTGGTGGTGGACCCAAAGAAGCCAGTCTGTTTCATAAAGACTTACCCTACTGTGTAAACTTAACTTAAAACTCTGATATTGCCTTTCCAAAAATAAGTTAAAATAACATTAAAGGTGTAATGTTAATATCTTATACTTAATATATTGATATAATAGAATATATTTGTGAGACCCTGTTAGTCAGATTTAAGTATGATTAGAGTGCATTAAGATAAGTGTTTCAGTTGAAGTGGTTTGAGTCCACTGGCCTCTTGTTTCAGTTGTAGGTATGATCAAACTTCTGCCTGAGCAGTATGTACCATGGCATTGTGATAAAGTGAAGTGACAGTAAAATTAACACAATTTCCCCTGTTATTTATTCAATTTCTGAAAATGAATTCAGGTCAGAAGCCGAGACAAATACTTCCTCATTACAGAAATATTAACACCATGTGGCCGAGCCGTGCTTGTTTCTTTGTGCTGTGCAGGACAAAAGCAGGTGCAGCACCGCGCCGGGGGAGGCGGAGCAATAACCTCGATGGCGGCGTTGGGCTACAGCTCGAGTTAGCACAAAGCTACAACGCTGATTGGTCAAGAGTTTATGTGTGGGCGTGGCATCTGTGCTGCGTTATAAATTCACCCGGCACGTTTCTTCAGCGCCGAAGAAGTAAGCTGTTTGGACCAAGTCTACGGAGTCCATGCAGTGTCCGTCGTAGATGTTAGCAGATTGCTACAGCTTTGAGCGAAGGTTGTAACATAAGAGGGAAGTGACAGCATTGTACAGTAAGATATTAAGTGTTGTTTGTACTGATGCTGGGACGTTGTTAAGCGCTTAGGTGATAGCTCAGTGTGCCTCCGGTCTTCTCTCCGGCTGACCAATGCTTCTGCATCAGTTCATGAACGGAGCTCTGGAAGCCATGCACCCCACGTCGCTTCAGAAAGACACGACTTTCACCAAAATCTTTGTCGGCGGGCTGCCGTACCACACGAACGATGCCTCTCTGAGGAAATACTTCGAGGCATTTGGGGACATAGACGAAGCTGTAGTGATAACGGACAGACAGACCGGTAAATCCAGAGGATACGGCTTTGTAAGTATTAACAAGTCCCGTCACGCACTGTAATAGTCACAATGAGACAGACACACGCTGCTCTCATTCATAACCTCTAACGTCATTAAACCACACTAAAAGTTACTTATTTGCTATAGTTCCGCCATATAGCCTAGCTTCTGGCGGTTGTCATGAAGACATGCTTGAAGTGTTTTACTGTCCGCATAATAATTGCTAAACATCTGTTGTAGTTACATGTACTCCATGTGAGAGGTCATCCCACACCGAAGCTGCACAGCATCTCTGTGTTTTCGCATGGCTGGCTGTTAGTTTAGCTTAATGAGTGTGAGGGATCACACAAGTTGATGGGTAACTAAGAAGATTATATTTCAACATATGTCTGATGGCCATCCCCCCCACCCCACAACTGATCACTGAACAGCCCAGGCTTATGGCTCTGGGAGTAACTGTGTGTGGGTGTTTGTGTGTATAAGAGAGACGGTCTGCACTTTTTGTTTGCTTTATATGGTTATTTTGGAGCAGTGGGGAGGCTGACCTTGCACACCCTGCCCTCCATTGTCAAGGACCAGAGCCGTAGCTTGGCTGCCTGGAGTGAAATTCCAACATCAACACATTGGCTCTCCTCCTGCTCTACAAATTATGTTACATTTTCCTTTGGTCCTCTCTGAGTCTGTGGACTGGCTAAGCTATCATAGGAAATAGTGTCAACTTCATGTTGCCTTCTGTTCTAGCTCATGTGGCAACAAAGTGCTGTTTGCCAGTACATTAATCACAGCTTATTTTTGGCTACTGTCCCTTTTTAAGTCAAATTACTGAAAAATGTCCAAGTTTCCTGGTGATGTCTAATTTAAATCTGTACTAATAGGTGACTTATCCTGTTCCAGGCAGATAAAGACAGCTATTCTCTCTCTTTGACACGAAGAACAGAAGCAGCAAAAGAAATGCAAATATTTACAACCTTGGAAGGACAGATCAGTACTAATGTACTATCAGGCCAAAGAAGGAATGGAAAGCTGTTATGTGTGTGTGTGTTTACTTCTAAAGTCAGAATTGTAAGACAATTGCTCTGTGTTTACACATCAACGGTCTAATCCAGAGGAAAGCTGTCCTGGGAATCTACTTGTTATCAAACGGCTGTGCATTGAGGCCGGTGTTTCAAGTTAAACAGGCTCCAGGAGATGTGGGTGCTTCCCGGGATGAGGTGCACAAACCCGCTGTAGTGAAATGATCAGCACTTTTTAGATGGAGGGAGGTGCCCTGGAGCACACCCTTTTTTTTTTTTTATCTTTTTGTTTTTTTTTTCCTAAATGCACTTCAGAGGTGTATTACTAAACACACACACACACACACACACACAGACAACAGCATGGCTCTAGAGTGTAAACACAGCCTTGCTCCTTCCTGTGTGTTCACAACACAGGCCCTGGAGTGGGCTTTGTTCCGGATTCTTCCACTCTGAAGAATCATAATGCTTTTTAAAAAACGTCCTTTTGAAAAACACAAGTCGTGGCCTACATTGGCTGCTCAGTCCACACACCGAGGTGACTGAACCCTCTGAGTAGGCAGAACGTGGCAACCAACACAGAAGGGCTCCTCTAATGCCAGGAGAGAGAGGAGGGGTGGACTAATGCCAATCTCCTTAATATTTTGCCCCTAATTGGATAAGCTCCTTGTTACTCTGCCCAGATCCATATTTCAGCAGCTCTGTCCATGACTGGGTGGCAGTTGACTGGCTGCCTCTGCTGCTGTGGGCAGTTTTCAAAGCTTAGCATTGTGCTTTGTTTGTAGTTTCCCTTCTGCTTCAGAGAAATTGAATCTTAACAGTGGAAAGCCTGTAAGGTGGGATTTTATGATAAGGCCAACAGACCACGTCCTGTTTTGTGCGTGTCGAGAGTTTTTGTTTTGCTTAAGTAGTTGTGTCACCAGCTAGGGAAGCCAAGCCACCATCTGTTTGTGATAGGAGATAGATTTTTATTTATTTTTTTTTTTCTCTCTTGTGACACCTTGTTGATGAGTCTGACTCTGTCACCAGGTGACAATGACAGACCGAGGAGCAGCCGAGAGAGCCTGCAAGGATCCCAACCCCATCATCGACGGCAGGAAGGCCAATGTCAACCTGGCCTACCTCGGTGCCAAACCTCGCAGCATACAGACAGGTGGGGGTCAGTAAAGTCATCCCTAAAATTATGGACATTATAGTGCCCTTATCTTTATCAGCTAATGGTGATTAGAGTATAAAATGTGGAAGATAAACAATAAAAACCTGTATTAAGCTAAACACTAGAGCTGCAAGCAGATGTACTGGGGTTCGAGCACCTGATGTAGCTCAAAGTTGAGTGCTCGGGCAGGCTGAGACATTGTCCTTCCACACTTCTGACTTCACTGTCATGTCCCCTGAGGGGTGAGAGGCTATAACAGTTAAATGTGTATGACAGAAAGTGTTCAGCAAGATGATGTATACTCTCAATATGCAGCAGATCTTGTATTTACATACAAAAAAAAAAAACCACAGTCTCCCAAATGCATGCATGTTTTCACTGTGCATTTGAAACTGTTGCTGGCAGGACTGAAACAGGCTCTGCCTCTATGCCCTCTGTGGATTGTTCTCTGGTCCTCCTCTGTAAATGCAAATGTGTGTGTGTGTGTCTGACAGCCGACCTCCTTTCTTCCAGGCATTTCTATCGGAGTGCAGCCCATTCACCCAGCACTCATCCAGAGGCAGTATGGGTAAGTGGGCGTTTGTTGTGTTCTCTTCTGTGCAGCTCCACTAGGCTACTATTCCTTGGACAAACAGGGCCTCTGGAAAGTACATGCCAGTTTCTGTGTCCACATGCAAGCCCACGAGTAGCCTATTAGCATATTTGAGTTTTGTTGGCCCGGGAGATTGTTCACATGTCTCTGGTAATAGAAGAGCATTCCAGAGGTGAATGTGTGACTTACTTGTTAACTTCTGTCAGGAACCTCTTGACTCGTGTACCTGCCTGAGCAGGCTCCGTCACTGAGAAGGCTTCCTAGAAGTGGCTATGTTGTAGAAACGGCCTGGATGGCGTCGAGGAGCCGCGGTCTGCTGAGCAGCTAATGAGCATTTCACTGCAGTAATGACTCTCCTCACCCCCCCCTGCAGCTCTCAGATATCACCTCTCCAGCTTAAGCTCATTGCCGTTCATATTTTACACGCACATCCTCAGACCTGTGAGGAAGAAGTCCAGTCAGCTCTATAAAGTAGGTTTATGAACAGGATTTGACACGTTAAACATATAACAGTTAAGGAAAGAAATTAATTTACAGTTGCTTAACTTAAAATATTTATTAGTTAATTTACCTAAGATGTTTTATAGACTGCCAGACAAAAGTTTAGACACACTTTCCCACTGAACTGATGTGTCCAAACTCTTAACTAGTAATGTATATCTGTGTAAATCCAACAGATTTTTGGAATTATTCCAACAAAGCCAGCCACTGACCTTGGATTGTTGAAACTATGATGTGTATTTTCACTATTTTCTGACATTATGAAGACTAAACGATCAATTGATCAAAGGTTTTTCCATTCATGTCTGACTCATCTTATCAATCTTGTTGGCAGATATCAACTTAAACAGACTTTCATTATATGAAATTTGATTTTTGAAGTGGCAGATCAGTTTTTCCCTTAAATAAACATTTATTTATTTTTAGTATTTTGAGTTGCTGTGGTGTTTTTTATTTTTAAAATGCACACAGGAGACCCTGGATCTTAAAAAGACCCTGCAAATCAATCAGTATGTGATGACAGTAATGAGTACTATGACTTCAGAGTGTGTGAGTTTCATGTGAATCCCAGGACAGTCCACAGGGACAGGGACAAAATAAGAAACACTTGGTGGTTTTGGAGGCTGTTGAACCTAAAAAAGACACACACTTGAATAGATGAGGACTGTATATCAGCTGAATCCCCTTTGTAAGCTCCCACTGGGTCTGAATGAGAAATCTCAGGGTCCACTATGGACTTGTCCCATCATGTTCCAAGACCTAAAGAGGAAGCGGGAAAGTCCCTCCCATGTCCATGCTCCTGGTACCACAGTGAGCACGGATGGTACCACAACCCTCAGGGTTTGAAATGTGGAGCACAGGGCTGCTCTGAGGCATGTGTCTGACAGGTGCTGGCTCATATTACAGCCTTTTACACTCCCTTAATCTCCCATGACCACCGCCCCAGAGACGCAGATAGGCACACACCTGTCTGCCTGCCTCCAAGCCGTCCTCTGTACGGCGGGCGACAGACACAGGCCTCCTTCAGATACCAAGCATACAAGTGGCTTTTCTTTCAGTGCATCTACTCCTCCCTAAACCCCTTGACAGCATATGGTGTGAGGTTATGGTCTGAAGCAGGATTTCGAGTGGTGCTGGAGCGCTGTGCGTAGTGGTGTTGGTTTACTTGGTTTACTGCTGTAGTTGTGTTCAGCTTTGCTCAGCGGATGCTGTGGGCCAGAAGGTTTCACAGAGGCCAGGAACACTGTTTTGATGGGACAGGGTGCTCATCACATCTTCCACTTCGTCCGCAGCCTGGCAGCTTTCCCACTCCAATTATACCTTTTTAATTCATTTTCAGTGTTTTTATTTTTTTTACTTAAATTTCTCCCATTACAATGCTGCAACTACCAGGGTGTCAGATGGAGACACTGAAAACTGACACCTCTGTGAGACTTGGGTGAGGAGGTGGGTGGGTTAAGAGGAAATTGAGGGGGGAGGGTGTATGCTGGGTACTTAATGAGGCAGTGTGCTCCCTAGGAAACACACCTCTACAGGTGTTGAACAAAACACCTTTCTTTCCCCTCCTGCTTTCAAAGAATAATATATCTA